CCCTAATATGCATGTTTCTGCATAAACATGCAGAATTTTGAACAGCCATAAGTATGCACACTTTGTATGCATATTTATGTGCAAATTGTACGTATACACTGTAAAAAATGTTGGGAATTCTACTACACGCATGTATAGGAAATTTCCTATACATCGTATCGGAAGTGAAAATTCCTATAAATGTATAGGAATTTCCCCATTTGGGAAGATGTGTATGGGAAAAGTACCAAGTGTATAGGCAAATCCCCAGAAATGTATGGGAAAATTCCGATACGTGTCTGGTAGGCACACGAAAAAAAAAAACCTCAGCTGCCCTAGCTAAATGTTAGCTGTCCAGGCAGTAGCTAAATTTTAAGCTGTTGGAGCTTATTTTCTGCTGTGGTAGTCAAATATTAGCTGCAGGAACTAATGCTTCCGTATAACAGCTTATCCTGCGTGATCTGGTTTGGATGACGCAATTAGCTCTCTCAACTAATGTGTAGCTACCGCAGCAAATGTTTAGCTGTCAGAGCTGAAAAGGTTAATTAGTGCCTGGGCAGCCAACATATAAGCAGGGAGTAGGAGGGGAGAGGAAGCGACCGGGCCGGCAGCGGTCGGGGGCTGGCACGGGTGGCAGCGCTCGGCGGCGAGAGCTGAGCGCGCGAGCTGCGCAGCCGAAGCCGGCCCGACGCCGAGCGGTGGCGGGCCGAGCGGCCGGGCGGAGCTGAGCGTGGCGTGTGTTGTCATTTTGAAATCAAGATTGTTCTATCAAATCGTAAGGTAAAGAGGATAACATGTATACGGCTCCATTCAGAAAAGAACCAGGAATCTATCGCTCATCGTGTTTTTGATCGGCGACTAACCGTTTCGGAGTTTTTAGCCCTCCAACCTTACCTTGGCGGCTGCCGCAGCTGTGCACATTCCTTGGAGGGCTAAAAACTCTGAAACGGTTAGTCGCCGATCAAAAACACGATGAGCGATAGATTCCTTGTTCTTTTCTGAATAGAGCCGTATGCATGTTATCCTCTTTTACTTACGATTTGATGGAACAATCTTGATTTCAAAATGACAACACACGCCACGCTCAGCTCCGCCCGGCCGCTCGGCCCGCCACCGCTCGGGGCGGGCCTGCTTCGGCTGCGCAGCTCGCGCGCTCGGCTCGCCGCCGCGCGCTGCCACCCGTGCCAGCCCCCGACCGCTGCCGGCCCGGTCGCTTCCTCTCCCCTCCTACTCCCTGATATAAGCTATCACAGCTAATCATTAGCTTGTGGAACTTACGTTTTTTTTCCGTGCATATTTTCCTTAATATGTATAGGAAATTTACTAGATGATGACAATTTTCCTATACATTGTTTGGAATTTAAAAAACGGGTAAAGATATGCACATCTTTCTACCTTTCACATCTTGGTCGGCGCGGTCATTTTATGAGCTTATTTCTGACGCCTGACGCCACACCGAGGGTTGGACACATTTTGAGTCTATTTTGCAGTTTAAACTCTGATAATCGAATTTCAAGTCAGGGCAGGCAGTAAAATTCAAAACTCGACATCAAAACGTCTAGGAGTAAATCCCCAAAGCTGTGGGCTAGCCCCGGCACCGCGCCGACACCTGGCTGACCCTCTGGGAATGGCCCAGCGAGGGGCGGCGCGCGGCTCTGGGATGACCCAGGCTTAGTGGGGCAGACCTCCCAACAAGTCTCCGTGGTCTAGTGGTCAGCGTGACGGGATCGCAAGCTAGAAGTCCGAGGTTCAACTCTCCATCCGGTAAGGTATTCCATAATTGTATCAATGCTCACTTACTTAAATGAAATTACCGAAAGACGGCAGGAAGGCGACAAGGAACAAGGGAAAACGGCGGGAAAATGGTTAAGAAAAAAAAACTTTTTCTTTTTTGAAAGAGCATTGAGTGTATAGGAAAATTCCTATACATGTGTAGGGATAATGCCCCACACACATAGTACATATCCCACACAGGTGTATAGGAAAATTCCTATACTTGCATGGTAAGAATACTAACGCGTAAGGTAGAATTACCACACGCCTGTATGGGAAACTTCCTATACATGTATATGTGAATTGCTGCAGATACATTTATAGGAAATCTACCATAGAAATTTTTTACAGTGTATTTATGCATGATGTATGTATGGATTTGTGCGTACGGAAATTCCCGACAAATAATATCACAAATTTTGTTGGGACATGGTTCACAGGAATTATGTTGGTCCAAAAACCACACTCCCTGAGTGAAGTTACTGTGTAAGCACACGCTCACCGACCAGTAAGCTGAAATAAATATATTCATAGCATTTAAGTGGATGGACATAATCCGGTAATTTTCAGCTGGAGCTCATCCCCACGGTCGCTATCCCCGCCCTGGAGATGCTACTCATCCGCAGCAGTGACTATGGTGAGTATTACTTACAAAGCTGTGAATGTTGTCTTGCCCATTGAGGTGCGTCAGCGCATGTGTGGAGTCCACAGCATCGGATGCGGACGCTGACCCCGTTCCTCGAGGACCTGGTCATCCTCGCGCACAAGCAGCTCCACGTGGGATGGAGGCAAAGGGAGAGGCGTTGCATCTTGTTCCGGAACTCCGAGACAGAGTCCGAGTGCCCGGTGTGCGCCGAGCTCAGCGCCGAGATGTGCAACAGCTTCTTCCAGTCAAAAAATGCACGGTGCCAGCTTGCTAGTAGACTACCATTGTCTCATAAATCATTACTTCTAGTCTTCGCTATTATATTTACTTCTAAGGAATACAAATTTCATTTATACGATATACTTACTGGATGCTGTATGTTTACCTATAAAACGATGGTTGATGGTGTTGTGCATTGATCATACGTGGCCTACACGTACTGAATCTTGAACTTACACTGATACAAAAGTGTGCAACTGGCATGCACATGGTAGCCTACCTCCCAGGCGGCCCAAGTTGAACACGTGATTGTCGGGCAGCTAAAACAGTTAAGTGCACGCACAGGTAACGCAAGTGTGTTTTTAAATGTTGGTGTACGAGTTTGTATACCAGTTATTCAAGTGTACAAAGTTTGTACACATCGTGGTGGGAAACTAGATTTAGACACAGCGCGCCCAACATGTGCAAGCAATCACTCTTTTAACTGTCCAACAATGCACCCGGGTGACGAAACTATGCAAAGAAATACACCAGGCCAGGCACCCGCACACTAATATTACGGGTTAGACAGATAAGGGGCGTGAGCCAAAAATAACAAAAAACAATGCACTGGTAAGAAATATTTATTTTTCGGTGTGTGTAGATTTTGAACAAGGCTGCACCACTATTTATTTTTCGGTGTGTGTAGATTTTGAACAAGGCCGCACCCCTTATAGACAGCTGTCCTGTCCTCAGAACGGGTTTTCCTTACTGTCCCTTTTGTCACACGTTTTGCAGTACAGTAAAATACTGCTTGGTAGCATAGCTCTGTAGATTTCTTTTTGCCCTGGACAGGGTCCATGGCGATGACCCGTTAGCCTCTCCAAACATATTGTGGTCATATTCGGGCAGCTGCAATCAGAAATGGGATGTTAGCAAATTGACTCATTCTGAGCATCGAATATTTTTCCGTCTCCAATTTTAACAATAACATCTGAAAACCCGTTTTTGTGATCAAAAATTGCATATAGTATGGTCGCGAGTGGTCACAGAAAGCAGATGGTCTTTAAAGCTCAAAATGAACAATCCGGTAAACATGCCATCTGTGTGCGAATTTTGATTGAGTTGCGGCCCCCTCGGGTTCCCGGCACGAGGTCCGGTACCACCTAACATTGCTAAAGATAAACTTTTCCAAGGCGCCCGCTTCTGTCAGCCCAAGAAAGCCTCCTTCCTGCTGTACAAAACACCTGTAGTATGTGGGCAACCCTGATGGCTACGGCAGTACGTTCTGTACCACGGCAAGTACACACACCTGCTGTGTTCGTACTTACCTGCTTGCACAAAGTTTGATGATGCCCGCCATATCCTGGTGGCTGATGGGTGCGGGGTAGCACTTTTGGGGCAACCCTTCAAGCCCTAAAAGCTCTGCGTCAGGTCTGCGAGAACAGAGAATTACTATTTCATGTAGACTGCCAAAAAATTCTTTCGAGTGCAGCTTCTGT